CCCCCCCCGGGGACATGGAGGCCCCCGCACCCACAGTGCTGGGAGACAGGTGGACCAGCAAGACCCCCAACCCTGAGCTTCTACTCCCCTTTCCTCCCCTTGCCTCTCACTTCCAGCTCCCTCCTCCCAGGTTTACCCCTCCCCCCTAGGGCCAGCCTTAGGCCGATTCGGTTGAAATGGGCCCCCTGCCTAAGGGGGCCCCACGCTCCTGAACCCAGAAGTGCCAGCGTTATAATAATTAATATAATTCAGAGCCTGGGCCCTGCTCCACCAATGTGTGGAGCTAGGTCTCTCTCTTGGCTCTGCCTGGAGCGGGCCCTGGACTCCCTGCATGTCCTCCCATCCTGCCCCCAGAGTGTCCCCCTCAGCCCCGGACTGTGCCTGCCGTGCGTGGCTTTCCCTCACCGCCTGTGAGTGCAGACTCCGGCCCCACAACATGGAAGACAGAAGGTAGGGAAGGGGCTTGTGCAGTGAGGGAGGGGCTTGTGGGGCGGGGGAGGGGGAGAAAGGGGGAGGGATCAGAAGACAAAAGAGGGAAGACAGAAGGTAGGGAAGGGGCTTGTGCAGTGAGGGAGGGGCTTGTGGGGCGGGGAAGGGGAAGAAAGGGGAAGGTATCAAGAGACAAATGGCAGGGGGCCAAGTGCAGACAATGAGGGAAAGGGCAGGAGGGGAGGTGTCAGTGGGAGGGGGGACAGGGTGCTGCTGGGAGAGGAAAGGAGAGGGAAAGGGCATTGGGGGCTAGAAGGAGAGGGGGAGCTGCTGGGAGAAGGCTTAAAAGAAGGGATGGGCATTAGAAAGGTGGGGATGGAGCAAGTCATGTGTGAGGGCACAGAGGAGCAGAGGAACAGGGGCAGAGTGGTGAGGGGGTGGGCATCAGGGAAAAAGAGGGCAGTAAGAGAAGGGGGAGGCACCAGGAGGGTGAAGGGTTAAGGGAAGATGTAGGTGCCAGGGGATTCTGGAGTGAAGCAGAAGGGCAGACACCTGCAGGGGAGGGACCAGCACCAGAGGAAAGAGGCAGGGCAGGTGTGTAGAGGGAGATGTTAGAAGAGGGATGAGGAGGGGTAGCTCACATGATCAGATTGGGGCTACTGGAGGAGTGGGCACAGGGGGGAGAGAAGGGCTGGTGGAGGGGGGCAGGTCGCAGGAGGACTGAGGACAGTGAGAAGGGCAGGAGTCAGGACAGCAGAGGAGGGTGAGGAGTTGGGGGGCCGCAGGCACCAAGGGAGCTGATGGAGCAAGGGGAGGAGACATGGCAGCAGAGAAAAAAGGTAAAGATTTATAAAATATTTATTAATAACTTGGGTGCCACAGTGGCACATCCAAACAAGCCACATGAACTCAGTATAGGTGCACAACACAAAATCCATTCTGCTCACGGGAGGAAACTCTTAGGCTATGTCTACACTGGCAGTTTCTTGCTCAAGAACATCTTGCGCAAGGGTTCTTGTGCAAGAAGTCTTGCGCAAGAACACGTCCACACTGCCATGTGCGAGCTGTGCTTTTGCGCAAGAGCATCCATGGCAGTGTGGACGCTCTCTTGAGCAAGAAAGCTCCAATGGCCATTTTAGCCATAGGGATTTCTTGCGGAACAAATCCCTGCCGAGCAGCCACACTGCCCTCTTGCACAAGAGAGCTTACACCTGTTAGGAAAGAGCATAGCTCTTGTGCAAGATACCCTCTCTCATTACGCCATACTGTAAATTTCCTTGCGCAAGAGCAGGCAGGCAGTGTGAAGCCGCGAGTGTAGACATAACCTTAAAGGGAACACTTACCCCAGCCTCTCTGCTCCCGAATTAATGTCACACACATTGGGTTAATGCAATTGCAGGATAGTTGCATGAGGGGTGTTTGGTGGGAGCCAAACTAATCCCTGTTGGTAGGAAGATGGTGAGAAAAGTCCTTCGAGAGGGGTGACATGATACCTTTTACTTCTGGTCATGTGTCCATCTTGCCCCGAATGTGTTGCCTCCAGAGGCCTGGTTAATGGGTTCAGGGCGTGTGGCTAATGGGGGTCAGGGCGTGGTTAATGGGGGTCAGAGGGTGTGGCTAATGGGGCAACACCAAAAATTATACAAATCTGCTGCCCCTGGAGGAGGAGTGCATCGGCTGCCTGCGCCACAGGAGGTGTGAGTTTAGTGGAGGGTTTTCCTGTGCCGCGTGTGTGTGTGTGTGTGCGCGCATGCGCGTGTGTGCGCGTGCTCAATTTAAAAAATTCCTGGCCCCCCCCATTGAAACTTGTGTGTGTGGTTTGGGTTTTTTGTTTGTTTGTTTTTTTGGTTTTGTTTTTTTTCCCTCTCAACCAAAACTGCTGCGGGGCCCCGTCGAAATGGTTTGAACTGGGCCCCGCACTTCCTAAAGCCGGCCCTGTCTGCAGTGTAGATACAGCCCAAAGAGACAGCAGAGGAACACCAAGTCCACAAAGGACAGTCAGCTATACTAACAGAACCCCTTTTATATAAAAAAAGCTGCAAATGCACTGGGAATTTTGCTGGCACATTTAGAGGGTGTAGCTATGCTAGTATAACTTTTCAGTGTAGATAAGGCCTGAGTAAGGCAGAATTTAGCGCTCATTAAATTTAGAGATTTGGTAAATCAAAGGGCAACTGGGTAACACAGAACTGACGTGTTCAGCTATACTAACAGAACCCCTTTTATATAAAAAAAGCTGCAAATGCACTGGGAATTTTGCTGGCACATTTAGAGGGTGTAGCTATGCTAGTATAACTTTTCAGTGTAGATAAGGCCTGAGTAAGGCAGAATTTAGCGCTCATTAAATTTAGAGATTTGGTAAATCAAAGGGCAACTGGGTAACACAGAACTGACGTGTGGATTGAAGTTCCTCTAAGTTTCTCTCTTGCACAGCTTTATCTTGAGCACTGAGAGGAAGCTCTAGCAATCACATGGAGAAGTGAGAAGTATATGATACCAGGGCCACTTTATTTATTATAATTTCATAGCTATATAACCAGAATTGGGATCTTATTGTGGTAAGAGCTGGGCAAATATTGGCACGGATCCTGAAATGAGATTTGTGCAAGCAAGAGCTTTTTGCCAATGTCATCACCCTCACCTAATTTTCTATCATCTGATAAAGAACATGAATATTAAAGGCCAAGAATTAGATACTCATTTTTAATCCTAACGGAGAAGGGGAGTAATTTGAGATAATTAAGGTGCTGGAGTACTGAGAAAATGTTCCACTGATCATCTACAAACCTATCTATGAAGCTCCAAGAACAGGTGTTGTGGAATATAACCCAATTTTGGATAAGAGAGAGATGCGGATAACTGAAGATGAAATAATGAAGAGGCTAGCGTAGTTGAACAAGTATGATAAAAACAGTGAAATATTACAATACTTTATATTAACACAGTCTTTCATGTGATGATCACAAAAAGCAATCTTACAATTTACGAAGCATGTCAACATCTCTGAGAGTTAGGAACATATCACATTGCACAGATGGGGAATGAGGCACAAGGCAGTTAAGTGATCTGCCCAAGGTCATGCTGTATGTCGCTGGTTAAATCATAAATGGCCTTCTGTCAACCTAAAACTTCTTAGCTTCTTGTTCACAGAGGAACAAAATGTCTGCACCCTGTATACATCATACCCCGTATACCAAAAAACTGCATAAATGATCTGGGCAGAAAAAATAAATATTAACCATTTTATGTTTGAAGTGATACGAGGCAGCCTTGACTAGTACTGGGCCCTATTATGTGAGCACCATCCATGCATATAGTAAGACACTGCCCTGAGCTTGTTACAATCTATACAGACAAGACAGACAAAGGATGATAGTGAGGAAGCTGTATTGGCAACATCTGATAGATGGGGAACTGAGGCACACAGAGATTAAGTGACTTGTTTACGGTCATACAGATAGTCTGGGACAGTGCAAGGAATTGAATGCAGGTTTCTTGAGTCACAATCCACTGCCTGTACCACAAAAATCAACCTTTCATTTCTCAAACACCATCATAGCTCATGATAACATTAAAATGACCAAGTGGAAATTACTATCCATCTAGCTAGCTAGCTATATATATTCTAACTTACAGAAGGATACTGTTTAATGGGCCTAATTATTTATGGTTTATACTTCATCGCTAACTTGTAAACTACTCTGTAGCAGACATAATATCATACTGGTCCGTATAGGATAGCAAACCGCCTCTTAGATTAGAAGAAAAAATGCCCATTGTACAATAGGCATCAATTATTAGTGCTTTCTATATTATATTATATTACATGTACCTCCTCTTGAGGTGTTTAAGCAGGTTTTAATGCCCCCCTCCCCCCACCCGGGTCCTCTGTTTTACTAAATATATATATCTTCAAATATTTTAAATAGAGAGGCAGGGGAAAAATATTTTAAATAAATAATAAATAAATAAATTATCTTCTCATAAGACAGATAAATGGCTACTTACTGTTTTTGCTGGAGTACTACTAGTTGGTAAGGTTGTTTCTATGAAGTATTTCCTCAGAAGATGCTTGCTAGAATCAGGACTGTCCATCAGAATGTAAGAACAAAAGCAAGCCCCGTTCTGAAGTAAAAACACAGCTATATCTTCATTCCCTTTCAAGAAAAGAAAGACTGTTTGTTCTCTTGTTTTCAAATGGACAAAGCCACAAGGGCTGTTCATTATAAATGCTATGGAACTAACCCTTTTTTAAAAAAAATCAGTTGGATGTGCAAAATAGGAACTAAACTAAATAAGCCCAGTTCCTCTAGCTATGTTTCTTGCTACAGTCGACTTCAAAACACTGAACACAGTTAAGTGTATTTGTTTGGCTGCTGCTTCATGTTTAGCATCTTGTAAATCTGTAGGTACTGCAGTGTTTAATATACATGATAATCATACCAAATCAGATCTAGATTTTAAAGAATTTATCTGACTAATATATTTGTTTGTTTGCTTTTAAAAGAAATGCTAAATAGAAAATTTAAACAGAGAATTTATTATAAGAATTATCATCTGGAGTTCTCCCACGGCTTGTGTTTACTCCATTTTGCAGGTCTTAAGCCTGACAAAAGGCTCCAGACCAAATTGACAATGGTGTCAATCCAGAAAAATTCGACAGAAGTCAATCCACACTGACACCAGCGCAAAAGAGAAGAGAATGTGGCCCGTACTTTAGAACATATTATCATTGAAAAACGGGACTCTGCGAGGGAATGTACAGTTACGTACCTGCCTTTATAGCCGCATATAGTGGCAATCTCATAAGAATTGGAAATTCATTCTTCCTTACTGCGCAACTCTCAGGGTCAGCATTGTAGGTGAGGATTAAGAATTTAACTATGGCCAAATGTCCCTGTTGGCAGGAGATGGCCAGCATCCAGTTCAGGAGTCGCTGGAAGTTACTAGGACCTATCAGAATGAGAAGACATTGGAATTCTTAGTTACTTTTGACAGCAAATAGTTGATTATTAACAATTTAAAGGCAGGATGGACTAGGGGTGTAAAAGTGTAAGCATCAGTTTATTGGTTAACATTACAGTTATGCCCCGGCTGCGAGCTCAGCTCCTGGGGAACTGACTATCACTCGATGCTGCAGGATCTGCGGTATAGAAAAGGAGGCTTTGCTGCAGGCTCCAAAGCACAAGTAACCATGTAACTGTTAGGATTTTTACTGGTTACACGGTTACTTTTAAAAATGATTTATTACATCCTTAGGATGTACAGGAGGAGGTCACAGATGGCCAGGCCGTCAGCTATGCTGTTACAGCCTCCCTTACAGGAATTCTAACCTGACTAGATACACTCTCTTCTCTTAACTGAGAAGGATGCTAAGCACTCTCCATTCTGTTCCCCATTTCCCAGCAAGCCAATGGACAGTTCTCATGACATTCATCCAGCACTGCTGAGCCCCAGAACAGCCTCACACAGCAGACCAGCCATGGGAATAAGTGGCTCCAGAGCAGGCACCCAGGGACACTCCACACCCGTAGCAGCACTTTGGTCCACACCAGCTCTTCATAGGCCAGTGCAGAAGAGGGGTTAGAGGCAGGTTGCAGGCTGCCATTAGGTGGATCAAAGGTCCATTAATCCCAGAAGGTTGAGTCCAGGGGGTGCAGAGCTAACCCAATGTCAGTGGATGAGGACAGTTTTTGTTCCCCAACACAGCTTTAAGGGGAGACATGCCTGACTTTGTCTTATATCATGTAAATGGCCTCCTGTCCTGATCTCGCAGCTTACACCCCTGGCATTCCTCATAAACCTTCCCACGCACAGACTAACAGTCAGTTTCCATTTATGTTACCAAGTAACTTCCTACATAAAAAGTTCACAGTAGGCGTGAGCTGGAGCCCGCAAGGTCTACAACCCTGAATTTAACATGCAACAATTTCTCAGTGGAAATTACCTCACCTTCTTCACTCTTAGCAACTCCATAACACTAATGACTCTCCTATCCCGAAAGCCAGGCACCAGTTCAATAATAAGCTAAGGACTTGAACATCTTAACTGGACCCATTCCTTCGTAACAAAAAGCACTGCAGCAATCTGCCAGAGCACAACTCCTGGCATGGGATATTTGGTCATTTATTATCATGCCTTAGTCTGGATCCAAGCATGATATTCTCATGGTAATTAGCGGGGAATCCTACATAAAAACTTACTGATGGCTAAAGTGCTTGCAACTCAGGCCTTATCTGCACTGGCACGTTTTGTCCCCGAAAACTGCCTTTTGTCAACAAAACAGAGAGAGCATACATAAAAAATGCAACTTTTGTCATGAAAAACACGCGGTTTTGGCAACAAAAAACATACAGCCCTCTGAGAGACTTTTGTCCTTTCCTCTCCCTTTATTGTCGGTCAACCCTGGAGCTCACTGGCCAGGCTTGGGCGGGGCGGGGGGTTGAGACCTTATTCATTAGGCAACTGGAGAACCCATCCCACTTCTCTCCCTTCAGTGGTTGCTTTATCCTCCCTCCCTTCACCTAAGGATGTAAAGGAGTAGCTGACTAGCAGGAGCTTATTGGGTAGCACTATCAACTACTCACTCATTCCCCTCCCCCTGCATTTTTAAAAGGGAAGTCCACAGGAGAGGACACTGGCTGAATCCCTGTTCCCAGGTCTCAGCACAAACACCTCCCCACTGCTTTGCATTTTTAAAGGGAAGGCAGTGTGAATGCTGAGACCCAAGAATAGGGATTCAGCCAGTGCCCTCTCCTGCTGGCTTCCCTTTAAAAATGCAAAGCAGCAATGGGAGGTTATGCTGATACCCAGTGCAAGTCAGAAGTGAGTGCTGACACTGCCCTTTCTTATCGACTAATCGAGTAGTCGATGGACATTAGCCAATTAACTGCCACTTCACATCCCTGCCTTCACCCAACCCAATACACCGGAATCCCCTGCCCTGAGCCACTCAATATACCCCAACTCAGACTCCTACACCCCCACATCCCCAGCCCCCTGCCATAAGATTGACACAAGACAGCCTGAATGCAAGCATAAAGCTGGATTTGACCAGTTATGATGTAAACTTCAAAGAAATGTGGGAAAAGATGCAGCAGCAGAAGTCCCATTAAATAAAGTCTGTGAGTACAATGTTGCTTTTATGCTATTACTAATCATCATATCAATTATCAATTATATTAAGTTGTATGCCCTGCAAATGGGCATTCCGATACGGCTCTTTGTTGACCACTTGTTCTGAATTTTGATGTAGTTTGGTGCTTTGGTTGGAAAAGGTGGCCGACCTCTGCTCTAGCCTGTGTCATTTTCTGTGCCAGTGACCCAGCACAATAATGCAACGTTGGCATTACAAACCGGGCAGGAAGGCATTTAAACTCAACCCCCAAACTGTTTTTAATAGAGATGGAAACATTTCTATCACTATTTCACTTTCTAAATATATTTTTAAAAATTAAAAGCTCATCTATCTGTCTTAACAGGTCCATCCTGCCTCCACTGAAGTCAATGGCAAAAATCCTATTAGCCCCCCAGATGTTTAAAAAGGGCCACCCAGCTGCCTAGGGCCGGGGGATTCAAACTTTGGGTTGTGGCTTGCAAGGGTAAGCTAGTAGGTGCCCACTAGACACTTTGTTTACCTGAGCATCCACAGGTCCGGCCAATGGTAGCTCACAGGGGTTTGCAATTCCAGGAACTGCAGGAAGTGGTAGCCCAGCCTGCACTACTTTCCACAGCTCCCAATGGCCAGGAACAATGTACCACGGCCACGGGAATGGATGCTTGTGGATGCTCAGATAAAAGAAGTGTCTTGCAGTCAGCTAGCCGCTAACTCTTACAAGCCGCAATCCAAAGTCTGAAAACCCTGGCCTAGAGTATTGCAATTGCATCCACGTAGTGCTGCCCTAGAACATGTAGGTGCTGGGACTAAGGACCTGTGGCACCCTCTGGCTTGAAGTGTTTTCCATGATAAACAGGAGTTTAAAGCTTGGTTCAGTAGCTCTTTGCACCTCCATTATCAAAAGTATTCTAGAACCCTTGACAGAACACTGCATCTGCTCTTACTGCGATTTGGAGCTTTAGCTTTTTCCATCAGTAGTAACTTTACATCATTTAAATGAATGAATTAATCAATCAATCAATCAATCAATCCAAATAAGGAATGGCCCTTCCGAAAGAAATGTGGAAAAACCCAAGAGTAAAAGAGAAGAAAAGGTGCTGCTGTCTATGAGCTCAAAACAATGTTCACGCAACAGGCACTGACTCATAGCCCAGCTGAAATTATCACTACAGTGGTGCCAGAATACTTTTTAAAGTGCAATGTTGCTTCCTAATAATACTCTCTGTTCTCTGCAGGGTCTGAGACATAACTCAGCCATGATGATTGATGGAATTTACTTGCCAAAAAAGGCCTCTTATTTCCAGTCAGCAAACATGGAATATTTTTTCCCAGAAGTTGTCTCGAGGCACATAGATATCAGATCCTGCCAGCCACTTTCTCGGGGGAGGAAGAAAAAAAGTAGTGTTGATCTGAATCTACAATGCAACTGTGCAATCCCAAGAAGCTGGTGCAAAAGTGTGCAAGTGTGTGTGTGGACGGATTGAGAAATACAGTGAATAAGCTGGTCAGCAACAGATAAACAGATGAATAACTCGCTAGGGATGTAAGTGGAGTGACTACTTGACTACTCACTTCCCCCTTGGTGCCTCTGTATCAGAGATAGCAAGAGGGGAGAAGCAGGAGCTGGAGCTGGGGGGAGCTGGCTTAAAAGCCCAGGAGTTACCGCCACTGCAGCTCTGCATTTTAAATGTAGTAAGAGCTGAACTGCTCTTACTACATTTAAAATGCAGAGCTGCAGTGGCGGTAACTCCTGGGCTTTTAAGCCAGCTCCCCCCAGCTCCAGCTCCTGCTTCTCCCTCCAGGAGCTATCCCATCTGCAGTTTAAATCTAACAGGAGCTGGGCGCTCAGGTAGTCTGGCTCCTACTACATTTAAACTGCAGCGCTGCAGGGGAGTAGCTCCTGGACCTAGGACAAGCCGAGACAGAGCGCCTCCCCTTATCGACTAATTGTGTAGTCGATACAACTTATATTGACCACACAATTAGCCAATTATCCGCTTCTTAAAATCCTTACAACTTACCAAGCAAAGAATCCAATAATTCCTTCACAATGTCCTCATGTCCAAAATATGCCGCCACCACAGCTGGATTATCATCACTGGGTTCCGTTGGTAATCCCACCAACGCTTCCTTGAGTAAATACCGTACTGCATGGAGATCTCCATATGCTGAAGCAATACTCAAAAGCTGGCACTAGTGGGAAAAACACAGCATAATAGGTCAAGGTAAGCGCTCCCTTTCCAATCTCTTTTGTAGGACTATGAAGTAGATAGATTGTAATGACTGGGGCTTTCTAGCTACATATTTAAATGACCCTCATCACTATGGCATCTGAACTCTATTCCTAAACATTAATGAATTTATCATCACAACTCCAATGGAAATTATCGCCCCCATTTTACAGATAGGAAATTGAGACAGAAAGAGATTAAGAGTTAGAGGAAGCACTTAGTAAAATCTAGCCCTGAATACAGACCTCCATTCATTGCTGACTGTAATATTCAGCACTTTAAAGTTACTGTATTACACATGGTCTGGCTTTTGGGCAAACCAGTCTCTCAGCTGACAGAATGTCTTTCTGTAAATGCCTTTCTAAATTACCTCACTGTCTCCATCTGTTTTCTATATTATAACAGCCTACTACACTGAATAGATAAGATTTTACTTTTTTTTGTGTGTGTAACCGCAGAATGCAGGTTTTAATTATATAATAAAACAACTCTATCTTCCAAAGATAATCAAGGCCTGTGATGTAGACTCTAGAAGAGGCTCAGGGCAGCCAGACACATTGTACATTTTCTTTGAATTGCCTCGTATGAAACCTCAACCTTGACCTGGAGGAAACCCCCCTCTCAGAACATCTAACTGCATGATTAGCTCCTTTCAAGCAGATCTACACAATAGTTCCAAACTATACCATGACTAGTATCTGTTCTGTTGTTGGCTTTATGCAATGTCCCTAGGGACATCATTTCAGGGGACCGAACCTCAGAACAACTGATCTAAATGCATGAGCCTCTAGTATCAGAGCTAAAAGAGCCAGCAGCCATAAGCAGGGGAGGCAAGGTAAAAGTCACACTATTCTTGGCATGAATGAGCCCAATAGCTTTGTCCACATGGCAGCAATAGCCCCTTTTATCATCTCCAGTGACAACCGAACAGAAATGGAACAAAAACAAAATGTAAAGCACAAGCCTCTCTCTGACTAATACAGATTACTAAACCATTTACCCTATAATATATTTTGCCATGAGTGGCCTCTTTTTCTGGAATTATGGCACAATGCGGAACCCTCTTTCCTCCCCATTTTTACAAAGTCATTTTTCTAAACAAAATCATTCACTTTAAACAGTGAGTAAACAGTGAATGGTTAATTGACAGGGTCTGAAATGAGAGCACAAGACTTATTTTGCCCTTCTTTACAACCAAGCAAGATTATCTTGAAATAGCATCTAGAAGTGAAGAGCTAAATCTTGCAATGCTTACTCAAGCCTCACCCAAACAAAACAGCAATATAGTCCAGTGGACGGCGGAGAGAACTATGGAGTCAGGAAACCTGGGGTGAAATCCTAACCCTATCAAAGTCAATGGGAGTTTGGTCACTGACTTCACTGGAACCAAGATTTCAGTCCCCGGTTTCTACTCCTGGCTCACCACTGACCTACTATGTGAGCTAGGATAGCCACTTCACCTACCTATGCCTGTTTCTCTCCAAACCATTGACTCTCATGTCTATTTAGAAAGTTTAAAGCAGGATGGCCTCTTACATTATGTCTCTGTGGTGCCCAGCACAATGCGGCTACAATCTTTTGTGTGGTAATATTGTAAGTTAAAAATGAATGGGCTTTTGCAGGAGAAACAACTGCAGATTCAAGCCTAGAGTTGGTAGATTTTCTTTTCCAATGAGATCAGATGACAGATAACACATACTCTACCTTTTCCACTTGCAATATGTTCTCCACACACGAGAATTTAATCAGCTCTTGGGCCTTACTGGTGTCTCCACTTTTGTAAGCGGCCTGAATGTTTTTTATCACAGGGGAGTGACCAATGGAGACATCGCCAGATGTGGATTGTTTGCCACCCATGTCCACAGTTCCTGGGTTTAAAAAAAGGAAAGAAAGGAAGGAAGAAGCATTTTCTTATTACTCAGGCACCGCTGCAATGTCAAATCACACAGAGAAGAACAAACAGCAACATATTTGTTATGGATTATTTTCTGTATACAGTAAAAAGCGACAAATAAAGAACATCCTTAAAACCGGTTGTGAGACAACTTTCCAAAGTGGACATGAAACTGAAAAGGGCAAGGACTTCCTTAATCTCTGCTAGAGGGACTTTCCAGTCGGAGGTGTATCAAAGCAGACACGCACTGATTCTACTGGAGTCTGTTGGCAGAACAATACCAGCTGAGCAAGTATTTAGGTGAGGATGCCACATGGAGTAGTTCTGAGGAACTGAGTGGTCCCTACAGGCAGCAAGACAGTTCTGAATTATTCTGTACACCTACTTCTTACATCATACTCAAGTCTCCCACTGTCAGCAGAGTCACACTAAATAACAAGCCATTGTCATTCTGTGGCACCTCCCATCAAAGGGACACACATCCTCTTAGTACACATGAATTAAGCCTCACAACACCTGTGTGATGGTGTGTATATGTACAAATCCCCCAGTTGGGGAGTAAAAGGGATTAACTCTTCCCTTTAAAGGCTGCATGAGCTGTTAGGACTGACAGAGAGAAGCCTATATTAAGAGACAGCCAGAAAGCTGGTGTTAATGGGGCAATTTGCTTTTCAACTCATAAAAACCCAAATCTACTATATATTTGAGTGTTTGTCTATCTGTCTGTCTGTTCAAGAATGCCTCCTAAATGGTAAGAGCTAGGACCAGCAAATTTGATACACAGCTTCCTCTTTCCATAACTTAAAACCAACATAAGGTTTTGGTTGAGCAAGGAAAACAGGAAGTGTCTGGAATGGGATTGCTTCTCAGAAAACCATACAGAAAAGAGACAGAATCACCAGGCATATGAAAGGGTTTTCTAAGGGTGCACCCCCCACACACCTCCCGAGCCTGCTCCAGCCCCAACCCTCCTACCTTCCAGGCTGAAGCTTCCCTCTCCTCTCCCCCTCATCCGCCCCCCGACAAGATTCATAGGGAGGACATTGCTGGTGGTTCCTCTTTGTCAAGGAGCAAGGGAATGTGCACAGTTTGCTTCATTCCTCACTCTGGCTGGGGTGTGCCGGGGCAGACGAACCTGGAACTGCCCCAAACAGGGGACATGCACCCCTCCCCCAGTGGTGCCCACTGGAGCTGCAGTGGCCATGGAAAGACACTTCTCACCAGGCCAAGCTGCTGTGGTGAGAGAGCGATGGGGTAGTCCTCTCCCCGGGGCAGCCTGCATCCTGAACCCCTGTCTTGGGACATGTGTTTGCTTACTATCTATTACAATGTGGCTCTGCCTTTAGTTGCAGCCTGTAAATGTTGTAACACCAACACCCAACAGCAGCAGCTGACTCCATTAAAAATGAAATTATAAGAAGCCTGATAGAATAAGACATAATTATATGAAAAGAAAATCGGGAATGTTTCTCACCTGTGAAGAGAGATCTGTTTATACTTAAGCAAGTTTTTCTTACTAAAGCATCATTATAATACCCTTTAAATCTGTCTCAAAGAACCCTACAAAGCCACCAGCAGATCAGTTGTGTGTAGGGGGAGACCAGAGGTCCTAATTTGATAGGGACGGTCCCAATATAGAGTGCTTCATCTTATACAGACAATTACTCCCTGTCCCACCCTGTCCCAATTTTTCACATTTGCTTTCTGGTCACAGTAGTTGTGCACCCAGGTATATTGCATGACTTAACAAGGAGATCTTTGTGAATTTCAATGTAATGAAGCCTGGAATAAGTATGGATCAATCTACAGCTGTCAGTATATACCCTTGGATAATGCAGTTTGAATTACCAATACATTCTGACTAACTCTGCTCATTAATTATTTAAATTAAGCTCAAGTCACCAAGACATTTGAGACAGCTCCAGAGATTTGTGCCATTCAGACACACAGGCAACAGTAATCCTTTTCAGGAGCTGTAAAATGTGTGAAGGGCAAAGAGCAGGAATTCAATCCATAAAAGCACAGTATTAAGTGAGAGTGAAATGAACAGCAGTGCTGAATTCACGTAAGAGGGACAATGCCTGGACTGAATTCCATTTTCACCCCCAAAATTTGTAGAGAGTTTGATGAATATAGAAGAACATTTAATATTTACTACTCTTTACTACCAGATCATTTAAAATCACTGCACCACCATAGCTGACCTAGCAGAATAACTGTATTTTGTCAGTGCTTATATGAAACTTACTTTTTATATTGTCTATTTAAATGCATTCATTTCATTGCTTGTTTTTCATGGATATGGAAGGTGATCAATGCAGATAATTCATTATAAGACACTAGTTTACATAGTGATAATATGGTACTTTACTAGCTAGAGATGTTTTAAGGGAAAATGAGTCTCTACCCCAGTGAGCTTAGCACCTGCTAGAGTATTACCAATAACTAATCCAGTAAAGCTGCATCTGAATACTCATAACATGTGGGAGAGATAAATGCTTCCTGAAAGACATAGATCAGCCTTCATGTCACACTCCCTATCCGCACCAGGCTGGGGCCAGGGAAGATAATGAGCAGACCAAATTCCATGATGACGCCTGGTCAAGTACCACCTGAGGCATACTGCACATATGCTAAGAAGAATGTTTCACTGAACCTTGCAAACTTCTAGTCTTTGAAACAAATGTATTTACATTTAAACTCATAACAAAGGCAAAAAGTGGATACAGGCAGTCCCCGGGTTACGTACAAGGTAGGGACTGTAGGTTTGCTCTTAAGTTGAATTTGTATGTAAGTCGGAACTGGTACATATTGTAGGGGAAACTCTAGCCAAACATTTCTCCAGAGCTCAGTTTTATTCTCCCACACCTCACTTCCCTCAGTCCTTTATTCTCAAGCTGAGGTGACTGCTGAGAAAAGCCGCTCTGTGTCTCCCTGGTCTGCTGGGGGGAGGGCGCTAGCTTCGCGTCTCCCTGGTCTGCTGGGGGGAAGCAGCTAGTGTGGGGTTGCCTCACCCCGTTTGTAAGTAGGGATCCGATGTAAGTCGGATCCATGTAACCTGGGGACTGCCTGTATTGCATATTATTTCATTCAGTTTGGTAACGGTCAACAAAACATCTTTCTCAGATCACATTCGGCTTAAGGGAAACCGAGTTCACTCCACAAAAGCCTAATATCCAGGGCTATCATTAGATCATCAGCAACAGAAAAAGCCTGTAACTCAACCTACTTTCAACCAAAAAGAAAGCAAAATTGAAGAGCCACAGAGTAAGAAAAATTTTGCTCTCAAAATCAATTATCTCCATCTGGCCAGGCTGAAATTAATGAGGTTCCCCAGATTTACATGAGAGGGGAACCCAGTTCCATTCATTCTTGGGGTCTCAAAAGAAAAATAAGTTGTCTGTTGCATAGCAGTGGGTCTGAATGAGTCATACTAATTACTCAATTCACTAATCGTAGCTTGAGAAATCACATAACTATTTTGGTCATAAATTTTACACTGCTTTTCTTAAAACAACTGTGAGATTAATAATATTACTTATGAGATCAAAAATTAAAGATAAGAAGTGCATTTATTTATTTAATTTGCATGAGGTATAACAAGAAAAGGATAATTATCTTTTAGTGATCAAATAATTTTATTTCTAGAAGTTTTATGACTGAACTCCTTTAATATCGGCACTTATGTTGTCGGGGAATTTTTTGCTAAATATGTTCATTTTGCTCTATCCTTTTTTAAGCAGATTTCTCCACTGAGATTAAGGGTAGATTTGTTTTCCCTCAGGCTTTAATCCTGCAAACTGTTACACATGTGAATAACTTCAACACATATGAGAGATCTCACTGTATGGGCCAACTCATGTGTAAAATTACTGAAAGAAAGTACTGTGTGGCCAACTGCTGAAGACAAATTACTCTGAAAATGACCTTAAGGGCTCAATCATGCAAGATGCTGAGTATTCCAGCCCAGATCCAACCATGTGTTTAGCTTTAAGCATGTACCTTGGTAGCGGGGACTTAAAATTAAGCATGTGCTTAAGTCCTTTGCTGAACAGAGGCCTAAATGACCACAGAATCATAGAACACTAGAACTGGAAGGGACCTTGAGAGGTCATCAAGTCCAGTCCCCTGCCCGCATGGCAGGACCAAGCACCCCCCAATAGATGTCTATCTAATCTGCTCTTAAATATCTCCAGAGATGGAGATTCCATCCAACATAGGGAATAGTGAATTACATAAATACACCCAACAAATTCTGATGATATTGTAAGAGGCCATCAGAATCAAACAAAAATAAAGCCCAGGGGCTTCTTCCTGCCTTTTCACTAGCCCATCTCCTTTATCTGCCCTATTTGAGACATCTGAAGCCCCAGGTTTTGTTTGTCCCACTGTTTTAAAAGGGAAAAATTGTAGGCACTAACTGACTTTTAACTGATTTCTATTTAAAAAGTATGCTTCTTTCTTTCACAGCTGAACCCACTTTAGGCGAATCATATTAAAGGAACTAACTTAGGAGATGTTTCATACTCTTAACATTGCAATATTATTTAAGATAGGGGTAGGAAACTTAAGGCCAGGGGGCAGAATGTGGCCCCTGGATCCAGCCCTAAGGCTTGCCCCCCTCCAGCACTGGGGAGCCCTCCCCCCACCACCAGTCCCCACAGAGCTGGAGCACACAAAGGCATGGGAGGGGACCACATCAGCAAGGGTTTTTTTCCCCCCCCCTTTTGTTTTTTTTGGGGAGAGGGGGTTGGGTTTTTTTCTTTTTTGGTTTTCACTTGTGTGCAGCCCCTGACTCATTTTTCTATGGGCAAGCAGCCCCCCTGCCCCTAAAAAGGTTCCCTGCCCCTGATGTAAGAGATCACCACCAACTGAAATTTAGTTTTTTTTATATTTTGCATTATATTTTGCATTACTTATATTTTATACCAGGTTTCTTACTAAAGCTAAGAGCAGTAGAAATATCTTTGGTTT